CGCGCGCATGCGCGGGGCCGTCTGGCCGTTTTTACCTGCGTGGCCTTTGAAGATCTTCGAGATGACGACGGGGACTCTGTGCTCCGCACCTCCCTAGAAGACAGCAGTGGACAGAGGTGACGAGCGCCGCGGAAGCGCTGGCGCAGAGGCGCGTGGGGAGGCGGCGTTCGTACCTTTATGCTCAGGCCCAAGCCGCCGGCGGGCTGTCTGCGAAGCGTGACGGTTCTGTGCTTTAAAAAATTTCAGAAAACAAGCCAGTTTAGGTTAAAAGGCACTATCGGGGAGGAAGCGCGAAATGCATGTCGTACTCATTGAACTTAAGTAACTGGTGTCACATATTTCCGAGTGACGTTGCTTAAATAACAGTAATGACTCGATGGCACATCCCCAGTCTCTGCACCGCGCGTGGAAAGAAAAGCGGCCGCAGAACCATTCGCGGGCCTTAGCGAAACCCACGAGCGTCCCCGCGAAGCCGCCCAGTCCCCGCGCTGTCCCCCAACCCCGTCCCCGAGGACGGTGCCGCCCCGTTTCCCGAGCAGCAAACTCCGAGCGGTGAGGCGCTCGTGGCTCCGTTTTAAGTCTGCTCTCGTTCTCCGATCCCCAAAGTGGCCCCCTCTCTGCCTTGCTTCTCCGCATAGTCCCATCATTTGGGGGCCAGTTTTAGATAATGGGGTGAATCCAAGGCTGGGCCACTACGCCACGTGCAGTGGCCGTGGGTGCCGATCCTGTTTAAAGGTATCCGAGGTGACAAAGCGCTCGACGTTCAACACGTCCTCGCGGGGGCACTGACCGCCGGCCTCTCCCGACCGCCGGACGTTGGAGCCCGCGCACGTGTCTTGTCTGACCGACAGTTCGCTAACCAGGGGCAACTGGACGGGGCTGGGAGGACGCGGAGGCGAGGCCTGCGGGGAGACGGCCCGGCGGGGAGACGGCGCGGGACGCGCGGGGAAGGACCGCGGCGACGTGCGGCGCTCTGATTTCTGCGGGAACCGTAGGCGCTTTCAGACAGAATGGCTCCGAAAGCCAATGTGCAGAGGAGGCCAGACTGAGGCAAAGGACCAGGAGGAGCCGTGCGGGCGCCACTGGGCCCGCAGTGAAAGACGCGGGACGAGGAGACACCACGGCGCGGAGGACGCGTCTCCAGAGCACAACTCTGTTGTTAGGAACGAACGTGTTCAAGGCTCAAAGTAAAGACAGGAAGCAAACAGCAGAGCAAATTAACCTATTTTAAAGAGCATACACAGAATACATTTTAATCGGAACGTTAACGGTTTCTGCCCACGTGACATTTATAACTGGTGAAAGAAACATTTAATCAGACCCCGGAAAAGAGCCGTAAGCGGGGACTTCAGCTCCAGATCATTTTCACTTTTCCCTGTAAATGAAGGTGACTGGTGACAAGCTCCTCCCAGAAGCTCGTTCCAGGCGTTGGTCGGAGATGCCAGGACACTCCTGCGGGCAGACACAGGACGGCCAGAGCCAGCGTGGGGTGAGGCCACCGCGGGGAGACGCACCCCTGCCTGAGAAGCGCACACAGCTTGCCCCCCACGAACACGGACAGGGCCTTCACGTGTGCTCGCCCACCTCACACACTCGTCCAGGAGCACGAAGCCCCCACCCTGCCCCAGGTAAGCGGGGACACGGGCGGACGGTCCTCGCATGACACCGCACATCTCACGCTGCTCAAATTTCCTGAGAAACGTACGATCGGAAAACTGGATTATCTCATGTTGCGTTAATCAGGAATGTCTACTATATAGGATTTCTCAAAATAGTCAATAATACTTTTCAATCTCAGCCATTAATATAAACATTTGAACCTGAGCATATGTGAGAGCAAATGTATTTTTAGTAGAAATGTTTGTTTCTACCTCTACAGACTTTGCCAGGTAATGACATTTAAATCTGTCATTTCATTCACGTACAGATCTTAGGAAGATAATTCAAAGGAAACATCAAAAATGATCGCGTGTGGCCAAACGGGTAAACGCACACCAAAACTCTGGACAACACGCCTAACGGGAGGGAAGAGAATTCACCATAAACATCTTCAGAACTGAACTAGAACTGGGGGCTCTCGCGTCTTTTGTTCTAAGCCAGAATACTATTTATTCAAATATTTGCTCCTTGCAATCTGCTAAGATTTCCTGAGTAAATTTGGCCCGGTCATTAAAATCTTTGCACAACTGAGTCTCTGCATCTGGAAAATAAGGATGATATTATGTGTCCTTCACAGAAAGTTGCTGTGGACTGAATTGTCCCCCCGAATCCTGTGTTGAAGCCCTAGCCACGTGTGACTGCTTGGACTTAAGGCCTTTTGAGGCAGTTAAGGTTACACGAGGTCACGGGCAGATGCTGACCTGGCAGGACACGTGTCCTTGGTGGGGGGGGAGGGGTCCAGAGCTCGCTCACTCAGAGGAAGGGCCACATGAAGGCACAGCCGAAGGACGGTCACCTGGAAGTGGGCACCCAGAAACCAGACGGGGACCCACGCCCCGCCAGAACCTTGATCTTGGACTTCCGGCCCCCAGAATGGTGAAAAGGTGGACTTCCGAAGTCTGAGCTGCGAGCCCGCATCTTCCGGCGGCCTGAGCTCACTGGGGAAGGCCACGCGACATAGTCACCAGAGGGAGCGGTGGCCTCCACGCTTCGTAACAGTGTCAGGCAGCTTAGTCTCCTGCAGGCAAAGGTCCTTCCCAGCTTTTCAAACGCCCTCGTTCGAACATCAAGCAGCTCCAGTGTTTCAAAACTGGGTTACAAGTTCGGCTGACTCGGGCTTTCAGGAATGAGATGTTATGACGATTAAGGCTCTGGAATGACGTTAACATCGTCACACCTTAGAACTTTGATTTTCAACACAAGACTTGTGAAAATGAGTAGATGGTGAAAAAGATAAACAGGAACCAAAACCTGTGCAGCTTTTAACGGAGCCCTCCCCACGCGGCCCGGCCGCGGCCCCCGCGTGTCCTGACTGACGACGCCCACGTCTGTTCACAGAGGTCGAGACGGGAATGACGCCGTCGAAGGCTTTTTCTAGCTGAACCCACTGTCGTTCGTCAGCACGCACGCTGCCGAGAACCGGCGCCGGGCAATGACCCGCCAAGCGGCTCCACCGCGGAAGGGAGCACGGCGGCCGGACCCCTCCCTGGGCTGTGCTCACCTCGCTCACACGCACACGGCCTCGTCGCGACCGGGCTCCGGGGCTCCCGCCCACCCAGGCGTGAAGCCAGAAGACACCAGACGGGCGCCGAGACCCCCGGAGAATCAGCTTCGAAGTCGCGGCAACAGCTCCATAAAGTCGTTTCACGTTCCATTCAGCCCTGGTCACGAGCGCAGAGATAGGGTCCGTCAGGACGTAGTCTCCGTCTTGTCATCTCTCTCAAAGCCAAGTCTTGGCATTGAATTCGTGTCACACCTCGGGAGCCGCGTTCCCTTCCGACTGTAAACGTTTGGAGACAGAGCCGCTTTCGAGGACAAAGGTAATTCTTGCCCATTATATATTTTTTGTCAAACAAAAGAGTGACTCTAGGTTATTAAAGTTAGATTTCTTGTTCTACTCCTCTAAAATACTGGTCTGCAAGTTACTGCTGTGTGATGTGTATAATCTGGCCCCTCGTTTTGACTTCATGTGGTCAAAGGTGAAATTTGAGAGAGTTTATGCATCATTGAAAGTAAACTGAAATAAATGCATTGACCAAATTCAAAATACGAATTCGTCCTGGCGGCGGGGGGTGGGGGGCGGGCTGAAATGCAAACAAGACTGTGCAGGAAAGGCATCGATCCGTTCAGGGTCCCCAGTAACTAAAAGGGACGGGCCACACGCACCTGCCTGGGGTAGATCTACATGGATCACGGACAAGGTCAAAACCGGAATGTTTGCAGAAAGAAGATACAATGTTATTCTACCGCTGTAACTTAAAAAAACACAATCGGGATGTGGGAAATCCACGTAAAGTAAGAGTTTCCGAGCTTAAGCGGAATAGCCACCCGGACCCCAGTCGAGGGGCCTCGGCCGAGTCTGACGGCTTTTACAACCCCGGCGAGGGGCAGGCACGTCGCACGTAGGAGACACGGACGAAAACTCTCGGGCTCCGCTTAGGCTCTTTACGATGTTTCTATGCTTGAAAAGTTACACAACTGAAGGAAAGAATATCAAAAATGTTAGCAGATTACGCAAAATATCTCGCCCATTACGATCTTAATTGTTTGAAGCTGCGTCTGGAGGACGCGATTTTGCATCTTTTGCGCTTGTGAAGTGTGTCTGTGGGCTCTCAGACACACGCAAACTGTTATTTTACCCTTGAACGGAATCCTGGGTGTAAATTCTTACAACAAAAACTATTCGCTACTTCAGGGATTTTGTATCTTAAGCCAGAGCTTCCCTTGGTCGAGCGGCCCGTGAGATGGGGTGCGTGGGGTGCGTTGCTGAGCTGGTGGGACCTCGTCACACGGCCAGGAAGGAGACATGCATGGGACGTGTCCAGACCCCTCCTGACTGCCTCGCTTGGCTACTCACTTCGGAAGCCTTTCGGAGAGGCTGCCGGCCGTTCCCCTGAGTGTGACTCTGACAGCACAGCTAACCCTCGGCCATCAGCCCCTGGACGTCACACTGGTCACTTCCTCAGGAGCTGCGGGGCCTGTCGGGCGCCTCGTCTGCCAGCTCGTTCGTGCTCAGGTCCCTCTCCCCCGCGGACAGTGCTTCGTGACGCGAACCACTCTTTTGGAAGTGAGCCATCCAAGGACAAGGGCAGTGGCCTTCCTTCGGCAAACAAGTCTCAAACAGGCACTGACCTCATGGCCAAGTCGCGTGGCCGCAGGCTGTGGTTCTCACAGGCAGGGTGTCTTCCGGCCTAGAGCCAGACGCTCAGCGAGCACGCGCCGACTGCCAGGGACGAGACAGGACCACGATGAGGGACCGGCTCGCGGCAAAGGGCCTGATGCGGGCCAGCCCCACGGGGCGTACCGATTCTCAGCTGCCGGGCTCCGGGCGCACGGCTGGGAGCGGCCGTGTTTGTGCCTCCCACGCAGCGTCCCCCGCCCAGACACGGACGCAGCTCGGTGCCCGGGGCCCAGCGGGGCGGTGACCTCCGCCTGGCAGACCTAACTGGGCTCGGTCGTCACGAGCAGGATGAGTGGCCGGGGTGGGTGGAGAAATCGCAGCATCCGCTGAAGGTGGCGGCAATGGGGCCGTCAGGGACCAAGGACAACGTACCGCACGAGGACACGTGCAGAAACCGCCTCTCGGAAGCCGGGAAGAAATGGATTTTCAGTTGGGGAAAAAGACTGAGAGACGAGCACGTGTTTGACGGTCAACGTAGGAAGAGCCGGGGAACGTCAGGTGAGTGCAGACGGCCGCTGCGTTACTGTTGCTTGTGGTTTGGCTGAATAAGATACGGGAAGCTGATCGTTACGTGTAAGGAAATAAAGCAACGAAAATTAAGGGCAAGAACAAAGAAATTAAAAATTTTTTAAAACCTAAAGCAGGTCGGGGTGGTAACTGTGAAACCGAAGGTCGGGAGGAGGGAGCGGGATGTAGACGAGGCGGACGGAGCAGCAGCGTCCACGTCGCTGCAGTCGAGCCGTCTGGGGACTGCGCGTGGCCACGTCAGGCACACGATGACCAGACGCTGCCGCTGCTGCAGCAAGGGTCACGATGACAAATCCCACCCGCGCCCCCGTCCCGTCTGCAGCCCCCACCCCGTCTCCGACAGGCTCCGTTTGCCAGTCTTGGGCTCCCCCGAGGCCCGATGCCGAATCAGCAGGATTAAAAACCTCTGGCTGTAAGAGTGAGTATTGTTTTGGTTCCTCTCTGTGATAAAAGTGACGTCTGTCACCAACGGACGTGGTGCTTCTGTCTTCAGCGGGTTCGAGAGGAGCACGCGCCATCTGCCCGTGATCGCTCTCCACAAACGGGCCGAGCCTGGGGTGGCCTCAGGGACACAGGTCACGGGAGGGCGGCCCAGTCCCCAGGTCCCCCCAGGCCCAGGAACCGTGCCGACCTTCACCGAGTGTGGGCGTCCCACCAGGAATGGAGATGTCATCTACCCGTGGCCATCCCCACCAAGAAAACCGGCCTCGGAAGCCGAGACGCCAGCCCGGGCAGCGGTACCGACTCTGCCGGGGACAGCGGAGGGGAAGGCAGAGCGCACGGCGGGGTCCCCTCCGGGACGGGGTAGTGGGCAGTGTGTGAGGCCAGCCCCCCACAACCCCGGGGCCACAGCGCGCCACTGCTTGACGGTGCTGGGCCTGAGTGGATGCCAGTTGGGTGCCACCCGGCCAGCCTCGGCACCTGCGTCTGGACGTTGGCACCGGCCAGGTTGCAGTGGTGCCGTCGCCCGTTCTGGGGTCCCCGTGACACCCCGACCTTTGCTTGATGTGCCCACAGGTGCACTGGGCACGCACGCCGAGCTGACCCCGATGCCTGCTGTTCCAGCTCCTGCCCTCCCCCCCGACTCAGGGTTCGGGGAGGCGGACAGCTCCCGGTCACTCCTCTGTCCGGCAGCTGCACTGTGCAGACCCCGCTCTGCCCTGCGGACTAAGTCCGCCTGCAGGGTGACTGTCCCAGGCCGGGCCCCACCGCAGCCAGCGAGGGGACCAGCCACACCGCGCGCACGCGAGAGCTGCCGCCTCAGAACCCAGAGGCCTCGTGCTGAAGCGGCTGTGACCTTCGTCAAAAACAGTCCTTTCTGTTCTCCAAAGACCTGATAAATTCTCATGGCAGGGTTGGTGTCATTTGCACAATTGGCTGAAGAACACAGGTTTTGAGTGTTCCTCGCACTAACAGGGGGAGCCTACTGACTGAGTGGGGTGCAGGAGGAATCCTGACTAAGTGGCTGGTTGTGTTTTCCTGTGGAGGAACATTCTCTCCGACGCCCCCTTACCCGATTCAGGCGCGTTTGTCCACGACGTGCTCCCCGCTTTTGCAGAAGGGGAGGTGCGTACCGAACTGGCGGAGACGTGGCAGGGGTATGTGTGTCGTGTGAGCTGTGTGGCGTCACCCGCCCCCAGTGCAGAGCACGGCTCTTCACAAAAAGCCTGCGGTGTTTTGGGAATCAATGAATCCCTTCAAATCATAAACAAACGTTTGTAGGAATGAACATACACTCAGCTTTCTGAGGGAGGGATTGATCATTTTCATCAAGAATTTAACCTTCGGTAGAGAATCCGACGATGAATTTTAAAAAGGCCAACTTACGTTCCCTGGACAACACAGCATGGTGATGCGAAGTGTTTTCACGGTGCCACGTCTGAGGTCTGTGGCAGGTTACAGACCCACTGTGCAGAGGGTCACTTCTAATGTTACCAACGCTGCCCTGACCTGCCCTGCCTGGTCCCGCCCCTGCTGATGTACGTGCACGTGGCCAGGGTGGGCGGGGGGAGGGGGTAAGGCAGAGCAGAGCTGGTGGCGGCGGCAGCAGGAGCTCACAGCGCACCTCGGGGTCACTGGGGACCTGGGGGGGGCACAGCGGGGCGGAAGCAGGACCGCCGAGGCCTGAGAGAGGAGAGCAAAAGGGACAGCCTCGCCCCTGCCCCCCGCTGTGCTGGCTCCGCCTCATTTGGGCCCCGGGGAGCAGCTGGCACAGGCTAGAACCGGGGCAGCGGGCGTGGGGCGGAGGACGGGGGTGGGGGGCGGGTTCCAGGGGAGACAGTGCCGCTGGTGGGGGGCCACGCACGTGAGAGGCGAACGCGTCGGTTTCTCGGGGAGCACCCTGTGCTTTGCGGACCCCTGTGCCTACCAAGGAAAGACTGAGGGGTTAAAGGTCACAAGGACTCGGAAATCCGATGACTGAGGCGTCACCGGGGCCATCGCGAAATGAAAGTGTCTTCCGGGCGGCTCCGAGACGCGCTGGAAAAGCAGCGTCACGCACGGCTTCTCGAGGGCCAGGTTTTGCAGCTGGCGGGGCCGGCGCCGGGGGCCGGTGACGGGCCCAGCAGGCCCACGGTGGGGGGCGGCGGGCATCCGGGGCCCTGAGGGGCCGGTCCCCACCCCCGACGGTGCTCAGGGCTCCGTTGCATCCGACAAGCGCTTCTCACCCCCCAGGAGCCTTCGCTCTGGGCCGGGAGTCTGGTAACGCCTGGGCCAGCCGTCTCGTGCGCACCTGGCCACGTCCACAGACACCCGGGCCGAGGCCCTGACGCGAAGCCGTCGTCCGTGTGTCTGTCCTCCCAGACAGACACCCTCGGGCTGCTGTCCCCCGTCCGCAGACCGGCGGTCACACTGCGTTGTTTCAGTTCCCAGTGAGAACACGTCGTGTCCCATCTCGTGGTATCTGGGGCCACTTTGCACACACAGCTCCTCCAGGGGAATGTGTTGGCAAAGGAAGTGACAGTGTCAGGGAGCGAGTGACAAATGGCACTTTGTCTGGTGACAATGAAAGCCAGCAGCCGGGGGCGTCTGAACAAGGGCGGGCGCCTCTCCCTCGGCAAACAGCCCTGAGTCCCCAAACCGAACAGCTGTCGCCTGGGGGAGCCCTCGGACTGTTAGCAGGAGATGCTGTAGCCCGAACCCCCAAATTGAGTGGCTGGCGTGTGGGGACGCCTCCTGTCTGCGGGAGGCGCTGCGGGGCGCCCTGGCCTGGGGCGCTGTGGCACTTACGTTTGCGCCGGGGTTGCTGCCACTAACACAGACGACATCTGGTTTTTGAATTGTCAGTACCTCTTTAGTCAGCTTCAGCCGGATGTCGTAGGCATTTCCAGAAGCTTCGTTGTGCAACAGAGCGGCCCCCGTTTTAGTCTGCGGACACAAAGCGGAGACAGACCAGGCTGTGAGGGAGGGACGCGGCCGCCGGCCGCTGCGAGCTGTCCTCGCAAGGACTTCGCCTCCTGGGCCTCCCGCCTGCCCGTGGACGCGCCGCGGGGGCCCGGGCAGCGGGGTGGGGAGCGGCCTCGTCCGCTCGGGCCACAGGCGGGGGGCCATGTGCACCCCTGGAGGTGGGAGGCTGTCACGGAGCATGGCGTCAGGCGCAGTGCGCCTGGTCCAGGAAGCTGGCCGCGTTGGCGCTGAAGGACGAGGTGTGATGTCCCAGCAGCCCCGCGCTTCCTGTCCCCTCTGGTGGCCGCGCCAGCCCTCTGAGCAGCCCGCACGTCCCTCCCTCCCTGCCACTCACTCGGAGACAGACCGGCCCGGGGCTCGTGACCTCGACCCTTCCTGTGGGGGGCCACGGAGGGGCAGGCCGGCGCAGGACGTCACCGTCACCATTGCTGGAGGTGACTGGAGGCCAGCACTGCGCTCTGAGCAGGGGCATCCCTGCTGCGCTCGTTCAGGACGAGAACTGTTCAGATCACATGGAAAGGTGTGACAGTGACCCACTCAGACAACACGCAGACACACTCACTCCCGCCACCACCATGCATCCCTCCGTCAGTCCCCCGGGCACGGCTCGGGGGCCTCCACAAACAGGAGACACTGAGTTGTGACGAGAGAACAGGCACTTTCCAGGACAAAGGTCGGGACGAGGGCGGCTGTGCTGTGACAGAGAATGTGGAATGGACTGTGCGTCAGCCTCCGGCTGCAGCTAATGGAAGCGACAGCCCTCGGTGCAGACCCGACACCCGGCCTCTGTCATTCGCTGCCACCGGAGCCCGACGATGCCATCTGAGGTAAGCCCTGCTTCTGCTCAAAGTGTCAAAAAATGGTCAGGAACGCAAACAAACGGGAGAAATTAAGCATTCCGACTCAAAATTATTTTATTCTAATCACTTTCTTCTATGAAAACCTTCCCTTCATGTCAAATTAAGTGTGCGCTGCAGCTGATTCGGAGGCGCCACACAAACACGACGTGCCAGTCCCAGACGGCCAGCACCAAGCTGCGGGGCATGACATCCACGTCCTCGGGAAGCCCGCAGAGACATGGAGCCCGGACGCAGGAGCGGCCGAGGGTCGGGGGAGCAGAGTGGGGGTGGGGACAGGCTGATCCCAGCGCCGCTTTCAGTCCCGACAGACGCCGTCAGCCATTCCCGCCGTTCAGCCAACGGGACGCAGCTTCGTGACATGTTACTTGGAAATCAGATGCTTACGGTCGTCTCAGCTTCTTAGAGCGAAATGTTGGCCTTTGCTCATGAAAAACAAGAACAAACACTGGCCCTCGCCGGCCCCGACTTCCCATCTGGCAAGCGGAGACCTCGGCCCTCTGCTCTCGGGTTGGGGGGGGCGTCTTTCCTCACCCCAGCCCAGCCCCGCTCCACTGGCAAGTCCCCGACGCTGTGAGCACCATCAGGGCCCATACCTGTCCCACGCCCGCCCTCCCCGCCGGGCTGGCCGCTCGCCTGTCCACCGGCCGCCGCTCCCACCCTGCCCGGCCCAGCATGTGTCAAAGTCGCAGTTTAATGCACCTCCTCTGCTTATTCGGAAATAAGCAGCTTCTCTCCACTGAACCACTGACATAAATGAATTAAAGCGTGACTATCACGTACTCGAAGAACGTTGAAAAGAAAGAGCTGTGAAAACACGCAGGGCAGGGCACACGCGCACGCACACACACACACACACAGAGCAGGGCACAGCCGCACGCACACACACACACAGACACACACACAGAGCAGGGCACAGCCGCACGCACACACACAGACACGCACACACTCAGGGCAGGGCACACCCACGCACGCGCGCACGCACACACACACACAGGGCAGGGCACAGCCGCACACACGCACGCGCACACACACACAGAGCAGGGCACAGCCGCACACACACGCACACAGACACACACACAGCAGGGCACACGCGCACACACATGCACACACAGAGCAGGGCACAGCCGCACACACGTGCACACACACGAGCAGGGCACAGCCGCACACACGCGTGCAAATACACACACAGAGCAGGGCAGGGCACACCCACGCGCACACACACACACAGACACGCACACACTCAGGGCAGGGCACACCCACATGCGCACACATGCATGTGTGCACACACGCATGCACATATGTGCACACACACACGCACGGCCTTGCAGGGCGGGGCGGGTGTGGGACAAGGACGGGTTTCCTCTGGTCCACTTTCAGCCATGCACAGCTGGGCGCATAACCCGTCCTTGGTCATCGTGGATTCCAGACTCCCAACGTCCTCTCCTGCCTCGCTCACGAGGCCCACACGCACGCGCACACACACACAGAGCAGGGCACAGCCGCACACACACGCGCACGCACACACACACACAGAGCAGGACACAGCCACACACACACACACACACAGAGCAGGGCACAGCCACACACACACACACACACACACACACACAGAGCAGGGCACATGCGCGCACACATGCACACACACGAGCAGGG